AGAGAGAGAAGAGGGATGGCATGGAGTGCTAAGCTAGAGACATTAACAAGTCAAAGATTCAGAAAAGCTCTAGAGGCGGCACCGTCACAGGCCTGGAGAGCAGATAGGAGTGAGAAAGGCACCATCACCCAGTACCTGGACCATTGGCTGCTGCTCCTTATGCCTCTAGTGGTGAGAGATAGAACAGATACAGCTCTGGGCAAGGACGTCATTGTGAGTCAACTTGAGAAAACAGATGGAGGAATCAGACAGATGAAAATCAAATATGGCTTCGTTTCTAAGATGGGTTTGGAGACTGTGGATTTGATGGTCAGCCATAATTGGGTTTCCTAGTTCCCACCCCATCCTCCTCTTCTAGACCGTGGGGCCACCAAGGCAGGCAGTTCTGCATGTGTACTAGAGCCTGGGCTTGACAGAGAGTATCATCCACTACTGAGCAGGTGGGAGAAAAATGACCACCCACATATCTTTCCCAGAAGGCAGACCTGGGTCCCTGACATGAAGACAGGGTTGAGCCAAGTGTCCCCTGTCCCTTCTTTGGGCAGGCAGAAAAAAGAAAGAGAGCCAAGAAATGGAGGAGTCACTTGATTTTCCTTTCAAAGCCAACTTTATTCAGATGCAATTTACATACAATAAAGCATGCTTATTTTAAGTGTGCAGTTTTATGAGTCCTGACAAATGAGCATCGTCACAATCAAGCTGTGGGCTGTTTTTATCATTCTTAAGTTCCCTCTACTCCTTTGTAGTAAATCCATTCCCCAGTCTCTGACAGTCACTGAGTTGCTCTCTGTCATTTTTTTTTTAATGAGGGGAATACAAGAGAATTTGAGATCCACCAGTGGGCTATGTGAAGAAACATATTCAAAATATTGCTTATTGAACACTTTAAATGCACACTCAATAGTGTGGGAACAAGTTGTTCCTTTACACTGATTTCTACCATGATCACACATTAAAAAATCATGATACCCCAGCTACATCTCAGATAATAACAAGAGATTTTGTGGGCCTGATTGGGCAGGCATTAGGTGTTTAAAACTCCCAGCTAGTCCCAATGTGCTAGCTGAGAACATTTGATTAAAAATAATTGCTTTTTGGTGAGTCATTCACTGAGATAATGAGCCACATAGGTTCAGCTGAAAGAAGACATTATCTATAGAACGAGCTGAGTGGGACTGCAGAAGTTTTGTAGTTATAGAAAGTTCAGAGAATCTACTGTCTGGAAAATAGTAGCTTCTATGATTAATACTTTTCCTGGTATTATTTCAACCTTTTTGACTAGAAAGTAGAAGAGAGAAGATGATAACTGAAGGAGGTGCATGGGATGGGAAATGAAAGGTTTCAAAGCTCTGTTTGTTTTGAGAGATTTGAGCTGTTTAGGTGTCAACAGAGAACCCAGGGAAGCAGGGGCTGGGAGAACTGATGGTTCAAAATCCACCAAGGAGGAGCAGATGTCCAGATCCAAGTAGAAAACCTGGTCCGAGATGGGAAGAAGGATGACAACTCTGCTTTAATGATGGAGGTAGAGGCAGAGAATGGAACATATTGAAAGCTAGTAGGAAGATGAGGGAATTCCCATGTGTCTCTCTTTCTTTTCTTTTTTCCTTTACTTTCTTTTCTTCTTTTTAGTGAGTTGTGATATAAGGCCGTTTTTATAGAAAGACAAAATGAGGGTAGGCGGGGAGGGAGGCAGGTTTAATGCTCGAGGAGACTGGAGATTTGAGATGGTCACTGCTGAGTGTGAGAATGTACGTTCACCTTGCAGGTCTACCAGGCAGTGTTGAGGGTGGAGCCATTTGAAGATATTTATGAAGTTAAGTGGCACTGCTCTCTAGTCTATCTTTCAGCTCCCACAAGCAGGCAGGAGACTTGATCCTGAGTCATGTGATGCCTCCACAGGTAATTAGAAAGGACAGAGGGCAGAGGACATTAGGGAAAAAGCCCATCCAAAAATGATGGACTATAAAATCTGTGTGGGAGAAGGGTTAGAAATAAGGAAAAAGCTGAAGGCTTGAGAGAAAGCAGAAGGAACAATGGGTTGGAGAGGTTGTGAGCAGAGCAGAAAGCTTAGATTGTGGAGGTAGGGCTGTTAAGGAACTGGGCCTAGGGATGGGTGGGCTGTTTCTGTGAGTAACAGCAGAACTAATTGTCTCCAATTCCTCACTCTTGATTCCCTGTATTGCATCCCAACCCATTGCCACACTTCCCAACCTTTACTAAGGTCTCAGATGAACTCCATGTCTTCAAATCCAAGAACTGTTTTCCAGTCCTCTTTTTGCTGGATTTGTCAGCATTATGTGACACTAACCCACTTGCTTCTTGCAGTCCTTTCTTTCAATGGCTTCCAAGTGAGCACATTCTCCTCATGTTTCCCAGTGAGAAGCTCCCAAGAATGGCTCTTGTTTATTGGTCTCCCGAAGAGGCCTCGCCTTCTCTTCCTGTGCGTTATGTTTGGGAATTTCTCAGTAAGGTGTATTCCTCAGGCCTCCTGCATTCTTTTTTCTTGGCAGTCTCCTTCGGGCCTCATGGGTTAAATTACTACTCATCACCTTAGGAGTTTTTTTTGAACTTTAAGCCCAGATGTCCAGTTCCTACTAGTCATTTCCCTTTAGGTGATCAGAGGTTTTCAAATTCTTCATTTTTAAACCTGAACTTACATGTAACTTACCCCTAAACCTGGCTCTTTCCTGATGTTCCCACTTAAGTGAACCTCACATATGGTTAGGTAAGTCAGAAATCTAAGATCCATCTTTGACACCGCCCTTTCCACAAATCCCTGTATCCCCTCCATTACTCCTTTCAATCTTGCATCCTCAGTGTCTTCAGAATTCACTCACTTCTCTCCATCTCCTGTGTTGTGATGAGGATCCAACCTCTTGTCTAAAGCATAGCTCCCTCAAAAGCTCTGACTATTGTCCACACAAAGTCCAATGATTCCTCAAATCTTGTCATATGACCCTTGCTTCATTTCCTTCAAATACTCTCTACTTTCCACTGCTCCCTGAATAAATGCAGAAGCTTGTCACATGTTCCTCAGGCCCAATGTGGCCTAGCCCTACATCTGCTCAAGATATGCTGGCTTCACCAGCTTTGCTCTGACTGCTCCTTCCTGGGTCTTCTCAGCTCTTACTTCTGCAGGGCAGCCTTCCTGGTCACCTCGTCCACTCTGGGCACCATTACCATTTGTTTTCATGGGATGGCTTACCTCTTCTTATCTCAGTGTGGAATTATGCATTCATCTAGGGGGTTATTTGATTGAATCTCTCTTCCCACCCTGGAGACCAGGCTCCATGAGAGCAGGAAAACAACCACATGTGGTTTTGTCCATGGTGTCCCTTCCCTGCTCAGTAAAGTGACTCTAATGGGTGCTTACAGTTTTTGTTTTGTTTTGTTGTTAGGAACCACAGGATTCAAGCATACAGGTGTCTTCGATACTACTTATCATTTTGTAGGTGAGGAAGCAGAAGTGGAGAGATGAGAGATGAGGGGTTCCTGTATACATGGTTGGTCACACAGCCAGTTGATGGCAGAGCTTGAATGTGAATTCTCATCTCTCTCCAGTCCAGTGATCTTTCCACTTCTACTTAGCAACTATTTCTGTAATATGAACCCTCCCTCTCTTTTTTCTCTTCTAAGTGAAATGTAAGAGCTATCTGTCTTAAACTTTTTGTTTTGTTTTTGGTGCTATGTAGTCACAAAACATCAAACCATTGATGGCAGACAAAAATAGCATACTCAAGAGAAAGGAGAAGCAATTTTAAAGGCCTGCTTCCCCCATCCCTACCATCTCACAGCAGTGATAGGGATGTCGAGTGGGACTAAGAAGGCAGCTCGTTCCCCCACTGCACTGCTGAAGCCACTGAGCCACCCAGGAACAACCAACAGGAAGAAGGAGATTGAAAAGGCTCACATGCCACATCCTTACTTCCTCGAAACTGAGAGCTCATCAGAGAAAGTTGCAAATCCCAGGTCCCCTGATGCAGCAGGTTACCATTCTCTGCACTGCCAAATCACAGTCTGATTGTCAAGTGATTTATACTGTTTCCAGAGGCAGCTCTTCCTGGCATTCATGTTTCTTTTCTGCTGGTTAAAACCAGGGAGCCCTCTGGTGGTCACCTGTAGAAAAGTCTCATGCAAGACAGACTCACAGCTTGGGTTTGTCTTCTCAAGTTGCTTGCCATTTCCAAAATCAGTCCATCTGAACAAGATGTTTTATACTAGTAACGGACTGATACTATCTGTGGTCAGGCTTACATTTCTCGGCCCCTGTTTCTACAGTACTGTGACCAATGATGTGGCTGGAAGGTCTGATCTGGGAATCTTGCCATAGCCAGCAGGTGGAAGGGAGAGCCTGATTTCTGTTCTGAAGTGAGTGACAGACATGCCTTCATGGTAGATATATTATATCTACCATATACATGGGTATATGGCACCTTTCAGTTCACCTATATAACATGTTCCTCAAATAACTGTGTAGGGCCGGGAGCTCTGAGCCAGCAGTTTTCATGGGTGTGATGCCAGGAGATGGGTGAATAAGGGGCAGGAGATAGAATATGGACCAGGCCAGGCTTTGGGTGTTTGCAGAGCTAGACAGCTTTAAGACAATTAGAAGAACAAGGGCCAAGAGAAGGGAGTGGATGGCATACTATAAAGTACTTATAAATGTTTGAACTGTCTCACCAAGTGGGCATGTGAAGAAACCCAACGTGTCCGTGGCTGAGGGGGGGAGTCAGGCAGAGGAGAGGGGCTCTAATTGGCAGTGAGCAGTGAGTAGGCACTGGGGATCAGCCTTGGGAAAGAGGGCAGTGTCTGATTTCCTCAGTCTTTTCTTGAGACACTGGAAATATATTTTCCTGCTCCTCATGAAAATGTTTTTGGTATACTTTATATTATTGTTCTATATTATGTTTAGTTTTATGTTTAATTTTCTCTACATGTGAAAGCCTTTTAAAAGTGAAAATCAGAGTTTGCACTGCTCTAACACATTTAGAAATATATGCTTGAAAAAGTTAAAAATCACAACGAGATCAAGACTGTTTAATAATCAGGTTTTTTTGATGGAAATCCAGTCACATTTGCCTGTACTGTTACACACACCATTACTTGACATTCACACTCCACTAGGAACATCATCAATTACAAAAAAGAGAGGGACTTTTAAAACCACATTTAATTTTAATACAAAATCTGTTGCATATTACAGAAGTGACTCCATGCACAGATAAATTTAGCTTCTATCATTATTGAAGAGTAAAAACTGGACTTTTATTGTTCTCTCTAAACATTGACAAATTGAAAGTAACTTTTATCTTTGTGCTGTCTGATGTCAAGGCAAGCCCGTTTTATTGTTTTGTGTTTCCAATGGATAGGTTGATCTGTGAAAAGGGACATGGAGACATGAAAGTATTTAGGGCCATCTTGACCTGGGATTACTTCAAACTATGTTTTACCTGCATTTTTCAAAGATGCCAGGTGACTAAGCCTACTGTACTCCATAGGCAAAGCTCTGAAGATTTCAGCCAGAAACCTGCTGAAATAGTGCATAGAAAAGTTCACCATTTCAGTTTCACAGCAAAAAGGGGGGAAAGCACAAAAGGCATTTAGATACTTCCCAGATGCACGCACTGCATTAATTAGCTTACTTCTTATTCAGTACAACATAAACATTGTTTGCAGGTTTATTTGTTTGTAACACCTATAAGCATATAGCATCTACACTTTAAGTATATTTACAAATTCAACAAAATATCTACATATAAAAGCTTTACTTAAAATCAAACTTGATGCAAGTTATCAGAAACCAATTTATTGGCAGATGAAACTGAGCATCCCTTCAACCATAGGTTGTTATAGATTTTCATATTTGGAGGAAACCATTTGATAGGTATTGTTTATGAACACAACAGAAGATAGATATATCTTTATTTTTAAACCGCAGATGTACTCTCTTGATCACTGGCCTTTTAAGCACTTGTCAGACTTCTCAGATTCTGGAATGTGTTCATTGCAATTTACACACACACTGCTTAATGGTGTGGAGCATTTTGAAAGTTCACATGAGCCAAGCCTTACAGAATAACACACTACAGGCTGGCATGCTGTTGTATGCTTTTAGTTTTACAATAATTTGTTTTCTGTCATTTTTCTGCCATGTTGACATCTTTCTTATTAAGTGCGACTTGTTTGAATAGAAACCATAAAAGACCACAAATCATCTCCAGTTGATGAGAAAGATTTTCTTTTTATATGTATGGGGGAAATGTCCCTTAAAATAAGCTGTCTTCTTATTTTTATTCTCACATTCTTTTTCAACATCACAATGTTCATTATCTCTGCTTTTTAAAAGTTACTTTGTGATAATGACAGTAATGTAGGAAAGAGTTGACAGTACTACAGAATGTAGTCATTATGGAATGCTTATTATCTGAAGGCACTGCATATGTCTTGCCCTGTGTATTTTTGGAATAACTTTTGAAATTTAATTTGAGTGATTTGTTTTTAGTTCTTTCAGTATGGCACAAATGCTGAAATGCATTGCAATACACCTGTTTATACCTAAAAACTGAACATGGAAAGAATGTAAGAAGTAGAACACTGTGCTGCTGTAATACCTGGAAGATTAGGAAGCCTATGAAGTAAGAGGAGCAAAGAGCAGGTAACAGAGTCTCAGTTAGCATCAGCAAATGCAACCATCAATTAACTCATTTAGCAAGTATATACTGTACATACTGTTCCTAACAGTCTCCCAAAAAGACTAACAACAGCTAGACATAGAGTCACCAATTCCACGACAATGTCCACAAAGACATTGAAGTTCTAGAGAATACTACAGTAACACTCTTGACAATGAAAACGGAATTCATACTCAGGGGTTCAGCTGAGGATAGTATAAACAAAGTATCAAACCATGTTTTAATAACATACACAGGTATGTCCTTGAAGTGTGTAGCATTTTTCATGCATCCTATTGAACTGTATCCTGAAGAGGAAATAACATGATCTGTTGATGATGTTACATTATTTTTTATCAGTTCTGAGGAAACTGAAAACACCTACTTTGAATGAAAAAGTATTCACTTTGTACCCCAGTTCACATTTACGTATCATTTGAGTTATGTTCTTGCTGTAACTATCCTCATAATATTAACATATAGCAGAAAATATACTTTCTACCCATATGCTTATACTATGAGAGGGCTGACAAATAAGTGCTTACAATAGACAGTCTAGAAAATGGGACATTGGCAAAGAGCTTATGATTTAAACAAAGGAATTCATGGCATTGACAGGAGAAGGTGCCTCTGAGCTTTCATTTCCCTCAGCTGGTTCTTTCTCTTTCTTACCACTGTATTGTCCAATAAAGGAGCCATCCTCATTGAACTGGCCATTCACCCCCTCTCCATAGTCAACCAGGCTATCGTCGCTATCTTCTTTTTTCACAGTCCTGTCTGAAGGTGTTCGACTTCCTTTTTTCAAAGGCTTGTGATCTTCTGCATCACTGAAAAAAAGAGGAAACATTTTTGTTAAGACTGGCAGGTAGGTAAAATATTTTGCTTTTAAAAATCATGCATGCAAATTATGAAAAAGCATATGGAGTCCTGAGTTTCTCTAGCCAAGTATCAATGTCAGGTTGACTCCAATGACTAGGATGAAGCAGGAATGAAAATCAGGTGTGGAAATGATTGAATCATGAAATCTTCAGTAGAGCGGATGGCTTCCGATTGTGCATGTTAATTTCAATGAGAAATTCTGATGTCTGATTTGAAAGCAATCCAGAATAATCACAGGCATTAAAAAAGGAAGAATTTGAGAAAAGTTCAAATCATTACTATTTTGAATTCAAATGGGGAGGGGAAGTTTATGGCAAGTAGAGAAGTTAGTATGTTAAACTGCGTAACATCTTTGATTCCTTGGCTATGAATGGAGCATGATTTTTGGTTAAATGTGAAATATGGATTTTTTTTCTGAGCCAAAAGGAGAAACAAGATCCTGCATCTCAAATAATTTTGTTATTGAGTGCAGGCCAGACTTGTAAACTTCAACCTTACCTTTCGAAAGACCTACAAATCCCATTAAAAGGATGCAGAAGAAACAAATGAGAATAGCCTAAGAAGAAAAGCAAAATCCTGATACTGATAAAACACAGTCTTTTTCCCTATAGAAATTTTAGTCAATGGGTAAAGATTTATTAATTTGGAAAGAGACACAATTTAACTAAAAAAAGCACTATATTTTCTCTTCAAACATGGAAGAGCAAACACATTCTGCCCTTGTCTTAATTCCCTACTCCCCCTCCCACGTATGAAATACAGCCTGCCCATGGTGGATGGAAATCTGAGGGTTGTACTTTAATAAAACTTTATAGAACTCTGTTATTATTATGATTATGATTATTTATTTTGCTTATTTCTCTGTTGAACTCCACTCACAATTTCTGGAAGAAGAAGATTAATTAATATGTTTAAGAATATCCACCAATGTGGTCATGGAACTGGGTATGTAGATTGACCAATTCCTTCTTTAGGTAACATTTGGGAAAAATAGGCAAAATGCAATGTTGCAATCCAGTATTTTGTTTTCTTTGAAAGAACAAAAAAATGTTAGGGAAAACAGAAAACATACACACTATTAATTAAAAAAATAACTTGATGTAACAAAGAGGCCACCTTACCTGTAGTATTTGTCTAGCACCTTGTGCTGAGATTTAACTGCTCCCTCTGTTTTAGAGAGTGATTGTTTTTTTTCTAGCCAAGTTACAAAAATTTTAAAGATGTACAAATATTCTGGCTCTTTTGACAATAACTTCTACTAGAAATTTCATTTTTTTTTCTCCAAGAAGACTATCTCATGACTGGGAAGCAATGCTAGCAATATGACATTGGCATATGCTATTGAAAATTACCTTATTAGATAACACAGAAGTGATTGTTGCTAACTGAATCATCTATATTATCACCACAGGTAATAAACAACTGGGTTGCCATCACAGAGCCTTGAGATGGCCTATTTTCGGGGGCATTACAGAGGATAGAGCATCCAGCATGTAACCTGCTATAAAAATATCTTGCACATCTTTGGGATTTAATCATGAACTTCTAGGCTTTGCTTGGATACTTCCTGTGAAATATTGAACATGACTTGATGAGAAAGTTAATGCTGCTGAAGAGTTCAATAATTAACATAATTTTGTCACAGGGGTTCCAACTATTAATCTTATTCTGCTTTGTAGAACTAGTATCCAATGGAAACACTACAGAACATTTTTGTCTATGGCATTTCTTTGATCTATCCAACTATTGACTTATCCATTCATCCAAAAAATATTTACTGAGTGCCTACTCTAAAACAGATGTCATTCTAGACATTGGGGCAGCAAGCAAATGGACTAAAACTCTGGCCTTGCTGAGTTTTCTTTTACTGCGGGAAACATACAATTAACAATCAACACAATGAAGAAAATTTGTTATGTCAGAAGATGAGAAGTATTACAGAGAATAGAGAGCTGAATAAAGAATGAATGAGTTAGGGAGGGGACAAAGGATTGACATTTAAATATGGTGGCTAAGGAAGGACTCCTTTAGAAGTGGCATTTGATCAAAGACTTAGTTAGATTAGCCAGGTGGATGGATGGATCAGTTATGGAATGATAGATAAAAGGACAACATCAAGAATTTTGGTTTAGTCAATAGGAAGCTTGGAATTACCCTTACTTACGATAGATTGCAGCATGTTTGGGGGAAGATTAGTGGTTTAATTTTGAGCATGTTAAAGTTTGGACATTCAGAAGAAACACTACTTTAACAATCCTACTTAAAAAAAATTGGCAGTACTAAGGTTTGAACTAAGGGCCTTGCATTTGTTAGGCAGGCACTCTACCACTTTGAGCCATGCCTCCAACAATTTTATAATATCTGAAACCATCAAGAACACCTTGAGAAAATCATATGACAGGCAAATGTGACTCATGAGCATAGATAAGAAAACCTCAAATAAATCATGAGCAACTGCAATTTAGCAAGGTACTTATCATATCCAAGTTGGATTCCAGAAATGCAAGTTTGTTTTAGTATTAAAATTCTAATTTACAAAATTCAACATTTTAGCTGAAGAAAAGTATCCATGATTGTTACAGTAGGTTTCAAAAAAGGTGTTTAACAAAGTTGAGCACCCATTCATGATAAAAACTTTAATATGCTAGGAATAGGGAGTACCTTCATTAATCTGCTGAAGGGTATCTACAAGAAAACTAGAGTAAACTTCATCATCATGGAGAAAGTTGAAACTCTGCATCTGACATCAGAACTAATGGTGTGAATGGCTGCTATCATCACTTCTAATCAAAACTGCACGGAAGTGCTAAGTAATGTGATGGGAAAAAGAGATGAGAGGAAGGTGCCATTATTCATAAATGATATGATTGTCTATCTGAAAAATCCAGAAGAATCTATAGGCAAATATTAGAATAAAGAGAGAATTCAGTAATGTTTTAAATATATTAACATAAAAGTAAATTTTCTTTATGCCCTTGTAAACTGGAAAGTAAAAATTTTTTAAATTACTCCACTTATGATGCCATAAAGTATGAAGTTTATAAGACCTCTGAAGCAGATAAAACTTTTATTCAATTGATTAAAGAAGGCATAAATAAATGGGGGAACATATCATGCCTATGGATGGAAGACTTAAATACAGAAACCATGTTAAACTTTCCCATATTGCTTTTCACAGTCAATTTATTTGTAATAAAAGCTAGAACGTTTTTATTTGGATATTGGTAAGACCATTCTAAGATGTATATGTAAATGAAAAGGGCAAAGACTATTTAAAAAATTCCTGAAGAACAATAATGAAGATAGAGGACTTGACCTAGCAGATGTCAAGACTTATTAACGCTACAAAAGTAAGACATAATTTTGGTGCAGAAATAGACAAATTGATCAGTGGAATGGAATACAAATCCCTATTACCAGTGGAAGATCTTTGTGTTGGATTTACTGCTATATCTTATTTGTATGCTATCATAACTGGAATAATTTTTAAAATCTAATTGCTGGTACATAGAAATATATTTTACTCTTATGCTGATTTTGTGTCATTCATTACTAAACTCTTATTAACTCTAGTGTATTTCCCCACAGATTCATTTGTATTTTAATAATGCCTTATCATATTAGTTATGAATAATGACCAGGGTTCTCTGGAAGCATCCATTCATTTCAGCTTTGTGGCTGTGGTGGGTGAGATTAGAGCAACACAGGCTGTGCTTGAGAGAAGAGAAGTGAGGAAGTGGGAATTTCTATCCTCAGAGTCATTCTAGGAGAAGCTGTTCAAAGGCAGCAAGATCTTCGTAAGACTAGTTTTTTAAAAAAATGTTGTGATGCAACGTGTTACTTTGTCAGATTCCAGTTAAATGAGAACAACCATATAAAGCATAAGCACAGTGCCTGGCACATGGTTTGTGTCCAACACACATGTGTCCATGCCACATCACTCCTCTTCTCTCCACTCCAGACCACCATTTAAGGGAGACTTTCCCCCTAGGAAATAGCTTGTGCAACACTCTCAAACAGAACTTTCCAGTTGTGATGAGTGACCTCAAGTCTGAGGGAAGTACTGCATTAGGGCTTGCCTTTTTTCAACTCAAAGATGAATTTTATAATGAAATAGTAAATAATTGCATTAGGTCTGTGCCAAAGGAAACTGCTTTTTCAAGTTTAAGTGTGAAGGGGTATTCCCAAATGAGAGGAATTAAAAAGATGTAGATGATTTAAAAGTCATATATGTTCTTAGTTCTGTAGTATTCAAAGCTTTACAAAGTGAATAAAAATCCATCCACATTTTAATTAGAACTTTTAAGGACAGGAAGCATCAGATATTAATTGTTAACCCCAAAGGTCAAAGATTAAATACATTTCAATAATTTATAACACACTATATATACATACAAAATATATTCTTGATGTTTATATTCATAAATAAAGATTGTAGTATGGTAGAAAGAATTGTTGACGTTACTGTATCTGAAACTTGGTCTTTGCATTACTTCCTCTAGAAAGACTACCTCTGCCACCCTCCTTCCACACTGCGCTCCTGACTTCAGCTTCCTGTTTTTGCTCCCATGTCATCTTAGCTGTGTCACTTTCATAGCAGCTTTCCCATTCTTATCAAATTATTCTTTTGTTTCCCTGCATCCCTCACTAGATTATAAACTTTCCATGTGGGACCAAATTCTATTGCTTTAAAAATCCCCAAGGCTCAGCATACAGAGGCACTTAGTAAACACTGTTTGGATGAATTCAAGGTAAAATAACAATAAAGGTGACAGCACGCATTTCAGAAATTCTTCAGAGTTCTAACATTAAAATTTTTCATTCTTTCATAATTTTATGACTACAGAAAAAGCATTGGGATATATTTTCCTTTCTTTTATACTAAAAACAAATTTTAGGGAGTTCAAGGTTTTTTGACAGTACTTGGTTCAGGGTTTTGCACACCCCTTAAATGGCTACTAAGTAAAATTCAAAAATAGAAAATAAATTGGTGATAATTATGTCTGATTTTCCTGTAGTCACCACCCTACTATGACCAAACCATGCTGTAATTTCATTGATACTCATAACCCAAAAGCACTTTCTAACCCACTCTGAAAAAATTCATCATTATTTAAAATTATCACTATTCTGGTTACAAACCAGTTCATATTTTTGAGCAGAATAGATCTAAAGTATGTAACAAATGCAACGTAGCTTTGCCTCATTCAAGCTTTATGAGCATGGGTTAACAAGCTTGCAACAGGGCCATGTTCACATGAATGACAGGATTCCCATGGCAAGAGTGTCCATTTATGCAGTAAGTTATGAGTTCAAGTACCATAGGCATATGGCTGATGACCTAGGTTCATTCTGGTTTTAAAAGAATAGATCTAGAGAATAAGAAAATACTTACACAGTTGGTTGCATTGTTTCTCTGATTTTTCTATATGCTAGTAAGGATGCAGATCCTACTGTCTGTATAATTAAAGAAACAAACAAAGAAAGCTGCAGGGTTCCACGAGAGGGTAACTGTTTAGGTTTGGGTGTTGGAGTGAGGGCAAAGGGTTATAGCATATTGAAAAAAAAAATCAAATCTGGCCACTGTTGAAGTTCCATCCCTCTTTGCACTGTGAATTGTCCTTTGGCTCAGAGCCAATTATATAGAAATGGCTTCATCCTCAGGCTGGAGAATGAGCGAATCATAAATGGAATTAATTTACATTTAGGCAAGTGTTCTAATTTTGTGTGTGTCTGTGTGTGATCAGCATTATAATTCATTTTTAAAATGCAGGAGAATAAGAATCAAAAAGTAATACAGAACTCAGAACTTCCAAAAGGTGCAAAGCAGAGAAAGAGATTCTCTTCTCTTAGGGAAGAGAATGACATGTAAATGTATTATTAAAAAAAAGATTCTGTAACAAACAGAATCATTTCCACTAATTGTGACATCTCAGGCAATAAAGGTCTTCTGATTACCTTAAATAGAAATGAACCAAAGGGAAAAAAATTCTGAGGTAATGTCTGAAAGTCACAGTACAAAGCCACGTCTATAACAAAGGGTGCTTGGGAATTTAGGGAAGTGATTTTTGCATGTGGGATGGTCTTTATGAACTTTAAGCTTCATTCAGAAAATCACACCAGTGAGTTGTTTTGAGTTAAAGACTCCCATCAGAACTTCATTTCCTTTGGTTTCTCCAAGATCAATGTCATTACATGTGTGACAAGTATTTTTGTCTTTACTCCAATTGACTTTACACTCAATAGGCCCAAATAAAAAGTCTTTCTATTCTAAGAAATTCAAGACAAAAGCCAAGGCAGCCATTTGAAAAAGCATCACAAACATAGCACGCATGGATTAACACTGAGACAAAGATGATCAAAAAGCTGTAGATCAAATGGTGATTGTGAGACCAGTAACCAAATACTTGCTATGTACTGCTCTGGAAACAAAATCATATTCAGAGTTGTTAGCAGACAGCTTATAGAGTTCATAGAAATCATTAAACTAGACAAGAAACCTTCAAAGATCATCTAATACTTGAACAATTGTCTCACTTTATAGATGAAAAACCTTAGACTTAGATAAATTAGGTATCACAGGAAATAGCTGAGTTAAACAAAAAATTACCAGCCTCTGAATTCTAAGCTAGTTCACAAACTCAACCTTAATTTTAGTCAAGTCTTAATGGGGTAGTTGTCACAGTTACCCAGAGAAAGTCACATTATTTTGGGCCTTGATTTTACATCAAACTAAGAGCAAACTGATATTTGAGACCCACAGGTGAGCAGTACATTGCTGTTTCATTTAAGCATGAGGATGCAGAACAGGAATCCATCACCATGTGAAGAACGTCTGAGGTACAATGGTCTATTTTCAAGTCATGCAAATATATAATTTTCCCAGGCTATATTAAATATGTAGTTTCATAACAATAAGGGAGTAGTGTGCATATCCTGTATAGAATTATAGCCACAAGAACTCTAAAAAATGAGTTCTTTATTAATTAACAGCTCACCTGCTTACAGTGAAGAGAGAGTTAAATCAGCGAAGATGTCTACTCCTTCAGTAAGACCCACCTGCTCTGGGCTATGGGTTTCTGTAGGTTGTTCTAATGTGCTATGAAAACTTTTTGGGTAGAGGTGCTGCCTGAAGTTTTCAAACACTTTCAGCCCCAGAGTCAAAGTATGACAACAAGACAACCCTACTAGACATTTTTCTGTATCATGAGATAAAGAAATCTGGGGGCCATTTAGAGCCATAGTTATCTCTGTAGAAGAGAAGATGAGAGTGTGGAGGCTCGTGTGCTGAAGCATGGAAACTGCTAGGAAACTTATTTTGTTGAAAATATGGTTTTTCCTCAATCAGTTCTACATTTCTCATCTCTGGCATTATTCGAGTCCTCGTGGTACTGACGTGAAAAAACCAAAAATGAGCTCCAGAGACAGGAAATCCTTAACACAAATACCTTAGACAGGAAATCCTTAACACCAATACCTTACCTATAAATGTCACCTGGAAATCATCATGCTGAAGTATTTCATCTAAATCTTTTCCTTGTGACAAATCAAAGTCACAATATGGGCTCAGTACATATTCAGATTGCTATATTTTACATAATCAAGGGCTTATAAAAAGAAGAAATCAAGGTGTAAAAGGCATTTTACAAACAGAAGCATCCTCTTGGAACACCAGAATGCTAATCTTAAGTACATAAATAAAATATTTTGTTTCTGTTTTTAAACATGTTTAAAATAATCATTTATGTCTTTCTGAAAAGACCAGTAGCATCTAGGCAAAAATATTTTTGTTTGAAGAGATTTAAAAAAAAATTTAGCTGATAAGTTATGTTAAATTTTTTTCTTAATGATGAGGTCAAGATGAGAATGTATTATTAATGTTCTAAGGGTTAGCACACTGCGTAGATGACTGTGATATTTCTTAATTGTCAACAGTTTCTAAAACAACCTAGTCTCATCATTTTGTGACTAACAGGCAGCCGTATAGGTATTGTTTAGGAAAAACTAGCTACAGATTTTAGAATAAAAAGTCTTGTTAACACTGGTTTTATAAAAGCACGTTTCCTTTATAATGCAGGCTGTGTAGGGTCTTTCTTGTTTTAATTCGCTGTAATAAGCTGACTTTACATCCTGGGTTTCTGGAAAACATGGACAGAAGAGAAGATTCTCTGACTCCAAGCTATGATTAAAATGGAAATTTACTTTTTAATGAAAAGAGAACATGTTTTAATCCTGAGAGACGTGTCAGCATTTAGACATGGAAGTTCTTCTAAACTTATAAGTGAGGAAGTATGAGCTGTCAGGCAGAGCACGTTGTTGGCTGAGTCCTATCCTCCAGAGAGTGTGAGGAGCAGAGGGACAAAGTGGAGAAGCAGAGGCTCACCTGTATTCTCCAAAAGTACCGTCATCTTCCTTCATTGGCTGGATTTCAGGATCTGCGTGGGCATCTTCCTTTTCTTTAACTAAAAATTGTGAAGTTGACATTATTATTCATTGATTCTGTACTTCCATACTCAAAGTTTGTAAGAGCACATACATCAGGGGAAAATTATTCTCTATACAAGTAGATGTACATTATGTGGCCAGGCACACAGTTTGATATTTTAATCATTTTGAGGCAACCTAATAGAATGAACATTTGTTAACATGTAAAGTTGACTTCACACAATTTCTAAGTTCCTAATATTTATTCCCTGTTTTACTGATCTAGTCATTAGCTGAATTCATGGTAACAAATTGTTTTTATAAATCTATTCTTTTGCACTTTTTTTTCTTACAACTGAAGGGAAATGGTCAGGTAAAGAAAATATAAATTCATTGGACCCACTGAAGTGCATAAGTCAGCAAAGAGTGAGCAATGCTAGGCACCTCAATGTCAAAGCTGGGCTCATGGATTATTTCCTCTGGAAAATGGCACACACTTCACCCTCCTCTCACCAATTGGTTTTGTGCTGCTTCAAGTATTTATAACTTTTGGGGGAACGTTAGAAGCAGACTTGCTAATATCTTCAGCAACAACGCTGATCTGCTCCTCCAAATGCCCTATGGTCCCCAACAATGTTTAAGTTGCCAATGGTATATCTAGGAAGATATACAATTGCAATCTACATGATTCATTTTAGTTTTATAGACAGTTATGCAGGATTATAAAGCAATGTTAATCTTTCTTACCTGGATATTTACCACCCTTGTTTCTTCTGATGAAGCAAACGATCAACAAAATTAAGATAAGGAGAGCGACAGCACACATCAGACCTATGAACCAGCCCTGAGTCGCAATGTCCACCTGCCGGCTTGCCATTGCTGGAAAACAAATCAATGGTGTTGGGGGTTAAGAGGGAAATGAGAACTGTGGTGGGCACTTGTAGTGAAACATTGCCATAGTGTATGGACCTTCATTTATTTACATGTGGCCCCAACTTAGAATTTGTGTTATCAATTAGAAATTATATAAGTACCTAACTTTGAAAAAACCTCATTATTTAAGAATTCAAATAGAGAAATCTGAATGTCTATAACATTAAATGCTATCAAATCCTGCTAATCATTGTGTTCATACTTTTTATACCATATGTATTTCAATAGAAACATACTCTTAAACCAATTAAAAATCTGTGTAGAGCTGGGAGTGTGGCTCAAGTGGCAGAGCACCTTCCTAGCAAGCACAAGGCCCTGAGTTCAACTTTTAGTACTGCCCAAAAACTTACTGTTTATAGGATAAATTGTATATTAAATGCAATTACAAGAATATAAAACTGAATTTTAAACAGAACAGAACATATACATCTAATGGAGTATTTTTCCTTCAAAAGAAACTACTTTTGCAGTGATGCTGTCATTTTTCATTGCTTTGGAAACTTGTCAAAAAAGAAAATGGCTCACACAAGGAACCTGTCCACATAAGAAAAGCACCTTATTATTTTATATAACACTTCAATTCTGAATGGAAATTTCTTTAATTTTATTTATTTATTTTTTTGGCAACACTGAGGTTTGAACTCAGGGCCTCATTCTTGCTAGGCAGGCACTGTACCACTTGAGCCACTCCACCAGACCCTGAATGGAAATTTCAGAAATATCAAATCCATTTTCAAAAGATCAGCATTTGTTATTGCTTAGAATCTATTCAAGAGACTTAAAGATATGTATTGGTCAGTAGAATCATCATTGGCTAAATGAACAGTTTGAAGAGAATATACTTTCATATGTACACATTTTCTTTCACCTTCATCTGTTCTGTTTGAGTAAGCAAATGTGAAGCCCTTATTAAACCACTCTCAGTATGCAAAACTCCTGGTAATATTCAAAAGTGTCAATCATATGGGACAACGTGCAGCATCAATGGCTAGTCAGACATGCCCATGCGGATTTGTTTAAATAAGTTTGCATGAATCCTTTAACACAGTTTTTCTTTTCTCCTTTGGCCATAATCAACATAAAAAGGTTTTCTTCTTTTGATTTCATAAATATGCCTATATCATGCTTTTAATTTGGCTGGATTTCTTCTGAAAACATTTCCTGTGTTTAGGTTAGATGTGTATGATCTCTGGTTGCAGAAATAAGCATGGTTACACATATCCCAGATTTTTGTACATGTTGTAAAAATAGCATCTCACTGCCTCCTTTTCTCCACACAGAGTATAGGGAGAAAAATGAAATGCCTAAAATCAAATGTGAAGAGGAGTATAAAAAAATGTCTAGAAATATGGTTAAGAAATGAGAAGTGAAAATAACATTATCAGGAATATAAAACAAAAGGCCAATAGCCTTCCTTCAGTAGCTCTTGGTGCTCCATTAATTAGAGAGATTTCAAGTATGTTATAACCAGACACCAGTGGAACACAAATATAGGCAGCTCCCCTTTCTACACACATGCCACAGTCATGATAGTGATGATGGTGGTAACAATGACAGGTAACAAGTTTCGACCCTTACTATTTGCTAGGCACTGTGCTAAGGGTACAGCCTCATCTAAGCTTCACAACAATCTTTTGAGGAAGGCATTAGGAATAAACCCATGTCCAGAGAGGGTAAAGAGCTCACCCAAGAGTTGGAGATGGACCCATGTCTGCCAGGCTTCGGTGAGCATGCTACTTGCTATTACACCCTACTGCTATAATGCATTCCTGAAAACACCTCGGGACATCAAATCTGCAAATGTCTGATCACAGAATAAAATGCTTTAGGTACTCTCAATACTGAGATGGGTAAAATGTTTGAAAAGTCCATCATTACATTCTGTTGGCAATATATTACTATAAATTTACATGTTCTCTGTGTACTTTTTCTTCAAAACTGAACCCAAAATCAAGTGGCATAAGTCATCTTGATTGGAGCTAAGGAGTCCTTGTTTTTAGTGTGTTTAATGATTTACAGTCCTGTTATAAATAGCCTCAGCATTTTCATTTTTCATCTAATTAAATGCTACTAATAAGGGAAAACTAGAACAAGAAGCCCAAGTGCTAGCAGAAATTGTCTTACACAAATGGTGATAGCCAAAATTGAACTTCCAGCCTACAGCTTGCTACTACATAGCTGTGCAAACACTGGATGTTTCCCTGATAGTTGATACACAAACGTGCACATTGATCTTAGACTTCTGCCCACATGTCAAAAGAAAAATAGTATTTAGTATTTCCCTACCCAATTACTTAAGATTAATTAGGTACTATGAATGAGTAGGTGCATGTGTGTATGTGTGTGCACATATACACTCAAGTGTATAAGAAGTTGAAAGAAAACATAAGTTCTCTAAGTAGAAAGGACTTGTATTGACTTTCCATCTACAAAAGGAAGGATCTGAAGCCCAGAATGACTACCAGAGATTTCAAGCCTCCTTAGGGCATTCTACATGATCTTATCTGCAACATACAGACCCAGCTCATACCCAAGACTGTACAGATCACACACTGACACCGACATGAGATGAAAAGTATGGGTCTTTTCTTTCGAGAATCTGAGCTTCAGTGGGTGGGTATTAGTAGGAATGGGTTGGAGAGTCCATTTTTTACAGTAAAATTATATACATGTATTACTTGAATAATCCATAAAGTGACAAATCAAATAAAAACACAGATAAAGAATATGCACATATAGAATAAGGCAGAGGAGTGAAGTTTGCTTTGTTGCCTAAAAGTTAGTTTTAACCACAGTCTTCTGCTCTCACATTGGTTATTGCACCAGGGATAAACTGTGCTCTGTGGTGGGGCAGTCTCAGAGGAAGTCCTCAGGATCTTGGAATAAACATGGAAGAGACAAGATGAGAGAAATGGCAGTTGTTCTATACTCTTTATGAAGAATCCACTATGTATTAAAATGTCCTGTTATGTTTAGGTGATTAGAAATGTTTAGCAAGGGAAAAAAACCCACCTTCTCCAGAATTTGGAGGAATTTGACAAAAAATTCCTTGGGCTCAGTAAGAACAAATCAGATTTAAATCGTCTGAGAAATGAGAGAGGGGATTCTAACTGAGGGACAGAAGTGAGGTGGGCAGAAGAGTGGGTGGCATTAAAGAGAGACCCAGGCGCACGGGGAGGAAGCACAGTATTAGACACTGCCGGTGGTCTTTGATTTATTTTTCAGTGTGTGCTGTAGGAATAACAAACAAGCCTTAAACCCCCAGACTATAAAAGGTGGTGATGGTGTTAAGAAGACTTATGAAACATATGAGGATGAAAAGCTGAGTCTAGGTTCTTGGAGTTAGCAGAATTCAGAGAGAAACAGCTCATGAAAGCAGGGAGTTAAAAAAGGAGCTGAATGGTAGTTTTCACTCCAAGGACTGACACCCTTACTCACACCTTAACCTAGCATGGGGTGGGAGGATCAAGAACAGTGGAGGGTCACGCCTTCACCCTGGGCCTCACCCTGAGCCCTAAGGACGGAGCATTGAAGTGGGGAGGGGAAGGCAGTTGGAGTAACACAAAGCACAGGTGTGCAAGAGTACTGATAGTATTTGCTCTTAGGAGCAAATTAACCAAGACTGCTAAAATTCAATCAAAATTAATTCTTCTTAACAGTGACATCTACATATAAAAAGTGACAATAACTGACCACAGCCTTGTCCTGTCTCTCCATCCCTGGCACACAGAAATGGCCCCCTCTCGCAGTCATTCATGTCCAACTACCTGGCAGCTGCTGCTGGAATAGCGGGTGCACACCACTGAGGAAAAAAATCATTTTCTAAAGGGGTTTCTTTTGTTTTGTAAAAGGGCAAAAAAAATTGGTATGACTTGATTTGATGGTGAATCTAACTCACTTGCAAGGCAGGAGTACAGAATGGCAGAATAGATGTACCAGGTGCTAACAGAAGCAGTCATTTCTGAGACAACGTGTTCCCTTTGAGTGTGGCATCTGTGACCTTGTGTAGTGGGTGTAGTGAGGGCCTCTCTCCAGGCGTTGGAAGGCTAGGTTTCTAATCCTAGCTCTTCTATGATGCAGCTGTGACCTGGGCAGGGCCTCCACCCCTGAGGACTGATACAGGTGTAAGTGAGTAACAACAGTGCCCACCTCAGAGGACTGTTGTGAGGGCTGAGTGAGAAAACCACTCGTCTGGAGTAGAGTAGAGCTGACTAGATGCAGTACTGCTTCTGTTCCTCCCACTCGGGCTGTATTCTTACTTGAGCTTCTAGTATTTTGAAATGAAAAGTTACTAGCAACAACAAGCAAAAGCCTTATAATACTGACTGTGAATTGATTAGATATTCCCCCTCTACTGTTCCCATTTTAGGTTTAATAATTTAATGCATTTCCTTAGAGCTATATATAAATGGATACAAAATTAGGAACAGAATAATAGGAATTTTTTTCTTAAAGCATGATTATAGCAAATGAATATTTAAAAAATATCATTTGATAAGTTATTGAATATTACCTTGGTTTTTTTCCTCTCCCTCTCTCTATTTTAAACCACTTATGGGTGGATATTTCTAAATTTTTAAGAAATAACTTTAGAAATCATAATGTTTTGTTAATGAAAAACACTACAAAAATCCATTTTGTCGAAGAGTTCTATAGGGATATGCAATATTCCCTCAATAATGCATGAAGTGACACAACATAAGATGAATGTATGACTCACAAATGACACACAGGTGCCTCACAACCCTTGCTTAAATTTACATAAGCAGGGATTGCTTTCCATCTTGTGAGCAAATATGAATTCTCTTGCATTTTGCATGAACATTTATTTACTTCAGAAACTTTACTTTTATAATTGTGTACTGTATAACATTCACATAACTAAAACATATGCAGAGAGCAAAATTTGCTGTGATAAAGTATAATGTATGAATTGTACAATTTCT